ATTGTCCAAGGCCAGGCTGGATGAGTCTTGGAGCAACCTGGTCTAGTGCAAGGTGTCCCTGCCCATAGCAGGGGGGTTGGAACTAGATGATCTTTAAGGTCCCTTCCAACCCAAACCATTCTGTGATTCTATGATTCTATGTGACTTTGCAGTCTGCCCTAGACACCCCTTTGGCCGCTCAACAAGCTTCTACCCTCTTCTGACTTCCAAAATCTTAAGTTCTCCTCTCCTTTTATTGTAGCTGTCCCTGTAGATGAAAGTCAGGTGCAAAGGTGCTGATACTCATTTATTCCTTTTGGTTATTGATGAACTATGTGAAGACTGGACTCAGCCAAGACAGATGTAAACTCTGGTCTTGTCTTCATCATTTAGGGTACTTGGAAAAGCGCAGTGTCAGCACTAGCTGCACCTTCCACTGCAGGACACTTTGTAGCCAGCATGTCATCTCAAATCAAGTTTCCTACATCTGCCTTACAATTAACCTTCCTAATTTCTGCATCATCTACAACTTACTACGAAATCTTAATTGGTATTTGACCATTATTGCCAGTGCTAGCTCAATGCTTGGACTTGGTGATCTTAAAGGTCCTTTTCCAACCTAAATGATTCTATGATTATTTCTCATTGGGGAAAAAAAAAAACCCTAACAAACCCCACATCTACCTTCTTAAAGAAAGCACATATACACTGTAACCAATAATATTTATTATCTCCAACAACAGAAGGCCACAAATTCTGTAGTAAAAAAATTGTGCAATGCTGTGGTGCTCAACAACAGAGTTGCGTAACAGGGGTAAGCAGATTTATAGGTACAAAGTCATCTGTCTTATCTGTCCAGATATTCCACTGGTTTGCTGCTATAATAATAATTTTAACATTACATTACAATTTATATAACCATAACAAAAATAATTAAATATAGACTGGATGTTTCTCATGGAGTCTCCAACATGACATGCAAAACCTAGACTGCAACATCATGATGCATTTCCCTTTGAGAAGTAACTGCGTTTTTTTAATACGTCACAGTGGGGCCAAAATAAGCAATTTCCTTCCTTCCTCGTACTGCAGTCAAACAGCACTGCAATAATAGGAGAGTGGAAATACAGTAAGGATACAGCTCTGGGAATACTTTGGACTGAAAAAATTCTCACAATATACTCTAGAAATTTTGAGTGCTCAGGTCTATTCCTGTATTCAGAAATGCTTAAGAGACTCTACACCAGTGTGTTAAATAACAACTACTGCATTAAACAATTAAAAATTTTGGAATTAGACTAGGCCTTATGGTTACTATAGCTTCTTGAAAACATGGTTTTTTTAAATAACTGTGATAACAGTTACCCACCATTCTTGTGTAATTCTTGTTTTGAGCTCAGGAAGGAGAAATTGTCCATGGAAACAATAGATGGAAGAAATATTTGAAAAGATGCCCGTTATCACTTCAGATGAAATACCTGCTTCTGACAACTTAGTGCAAAAAACCTGCATGAGACAAGAAGACAGTACCACCATATATTTACAAAAAGCACTCCTAGGCACACTGGGCTTTAGATTGCAAAATTACAAAGACAGCCTTAGAACAGAGCTGCAGTTTTTGACTTGTGGTAGTCAGTCCTGGGGATCTCTTGTGAGGTTCACAAAACATAAGCACACTGCCAATTAGGGTGAGGCCCCATGACTATGGGCCGCAGACATAAGTCAGAAAGATGTGAGGAGGTAAGTCGAAAAAGATTGAAACTACCGAGATCTGACATCTTGTCTTTGGGAGTGCAAGTTGCAAAGACCAACCAGTCCCTGAAGAGCACTTACTCCTATTTAACACAGAGCAAAATAAACCATGTGATTATTTTGTTTCTCTGTGGGAAAAATTACACTGTACTGAAGAAAATGGAAAGACACTCCCCATGATTTCTAAGGTCTTGAAACAGCCTCTACTCTTCCAAAGCATGCATTGGAATGTCTCCTTTAGAGGTCCAAGAGTTGGAGGGTAGAGAGCTCTGCAAGTTACAACTTCTAAAAAGATTTCTAGCAAGGTGACAATTTTCTTTTTTTCCCCATATTTTTAAAAAGCACTTGGTTAGCAATGTGACTCATCCTCATTTTTACTTCTTTTCTGGACATCCATGGTTTGTTTTTTTTTCTTTGAGACAATTATAGAAATCCTGAACCATGTAGACTCACCTCATAGTTTATGTGGAAGAAAGTTCAGACTCATCACACCAGTTTTACTTTATCCCCACATGTAAACATGATGGACAACAATTACAAAACACAGTGGGTAAGAAAAAAAAAAAAATCTGCTGTGATCAGGGGGCAGACCCATGTGGCCTGACTTTAGTAAAACTCAAACCTCTTGCACACTACAGAGCAATCATGGATTTCATCACTTCTCAGTGTCGTCAGCGTCCCCATGATTTCCTCCCCACATATGTTCAGGAAGGAACCGAATGCTGATGGTGTCTGTATCTTGGACTTTCCCATTCCTCTTACTGACATCCTAATCCTCGGGTTTCAGCTCAGGGAACCCACCTGCCAAAAGTTCACCTCTGAGACCCATGGCACACAGCCCGGCAAGCAAACTCCATCTTCCACCTATAAACAGTGTTTTCACACTATTGGGCTACAGGTTAGGAGATCAACAGGAGACATCACTGCTGCTCACAGAAAAGAAAGCAGAGTTTATTTAAAATTGAGTTACCTGGTCCAACAGATGGAGTCTTTTAACATACGCTTCTTCTGTATGGAGCAGTTCGTTTGCGATGTTGAATAGCTTTTGGGGCTCTGTACACTGAAAAAAAAGTTAAAAATAACACTATCCATCTGTACCTACAAACCCAAGTTTTATCAACTGTTCTCTTTGCCATTTTCTCAGTGGGCCAAATTCCCAGCCAATAAAGAAGCCTGAAGTGAAGAAAGTTAACGCATTTCTGAATCTGCTCTGCATTCATTATCAAAGGATCAGTTTGTCCAGAGACATTTTTAAAGCTATTTGCTGAAAGGACAATTAGTAGTGCAGTCAATGGCTGGTCAGAACATCACTTCAGTTCATTAAGGTTTTCTATAAAAACCAGAAACATCCCCCAAATCTGGAAATATGTCTAGTCTATTTGGTAATTAAGGCACTAGACTGTAAATCAACTGTTCTCCTTTTTGGATTCAGGTCCTGTGACTGAAAACTAGAAACCAGATCTGTTTGGCCATTGATTTCTCTCCCTGGCCAGTGCAGCATTACTCTCTATGGCATATTCCTAAGGTTTTTTGTGCAGCTTTAAACACTGGCCAATTCCCTGGAAAGAATTTTCAGCAATGTAACTCAAGCCACTCAGTGAAGTCTTTCATTAAGGTCATTTGAAAAAATAAAAGGAGAAAAAACTAATTCAAAAACTTGAATGCAGTTACTAAGCACCGACTTTACCCACAGCTACCCAAAAGGTACACAGACTCTTCACTCTCTGGGTGTTTAAAAACACTTGAATTATTAGCTTTCTGACAAACTCCAATACCTTTTTAAGGGTCTAGACTTTAAATGTCATGCCTACATATAACCAAACCAAATCTAGGTTCCAGAACTGAGGGCTGGCTGAATTGTGTTTGGGAATATAAACATCCAAGAGGAGCAGCAAGGATGATCAAATGTAGAGAAATTTCACTGGGCTGGATCCACAAAAAAACCCACAAAAAATCAACTGCAAGGAAGATAAGAGAGATGTATCAATGATTAACAGGACAGCATCAACTGGGTGCAATTATTTGCTATTTCCTCTATGGGAAAACTAAAGAGCATCAAATAAAATTATAAGGTGCTTCTTCAAGGCCAAGAGCCACTTCTCGAGCAACATGTCATTGCAGACAGTAAACCTTCATGCAGGTTCACAAAAGGACCGGACAAATCCATGGAGTGAAAGTCCAGCTGAAGTCTATCAAACACGCAAGACTGTTTCCAGTTCAGGAAGCACCTGGTCCTCTCATCAGCAACAGCCCTTTCTGTCCCAAATCTCTACCTCTGTGCACTAGCTAGCATTTTTCTAGACACCACCCTGCTTCCCACCAACAGCCTGTTAGAAAATGTCAATTAAACGGTCTCTTTAAGATCATCTTGCTTTGCTTCTCAAAAAAGTTGACAAGAAAAATTTAAATAAACTGCTATACAACCAAAAGACCTTAAAGACTTTTCAAAGCTAGACACGAATTCAAACAAACCAGCTTTTCTGGATTTGAAACATCATCAGTCTTCCCTTAAAGCAATCCCTCTCCTTCTAGGCACAAACCTGGAGACTGGCAATCACGTCACGAATAAAGCTCTGACACGTACTCTGCCTACCCTGCTACTCAAATTATTTCAAGCAAACTCAAATACTCTTTTAAGCTATTCGAACATGGAACACAACATCCTGCTCCATTCATTCATGCGATACATATTAATACTGAGGGGGAAGAAATAATCACAGAACAAAAAAGCTTTGAACCTGTTACAAGCAAATGAAACATTTTACAAGCTTAGAATGAAATACATTGCTGGCCATCCAATTTTAACAACTTCCGAGAAAGAATTAATTGTCAGTTTTGCCAGGCGCAGAAGGGCGCCTAAATGAAAGGCACTGTTGTAATCAGGCTGGCATGCCAGCCACCAGGAGCATCCTCTGATTCATTTGGATTCAGAATTTGAAAAATAATTATTTCCAACCAAATATGTTTGTTCACAGAAGCAAACCTTTCCATAGCACAGGCGCTTTTTAATCTCCTGACCTTCACCATCTGCAACTCAGTTTATATTTCAAAAAAAACTTGCTGACATCTGCTTAAATACCAAACAGCGGCTGAACAGACTCTCAGCTTGAGCTCGGTTGTAAAGAGTGACTCTGCCTTCAGTTCCTGTCTGTGCTAGTGGCAGTGACAGGCATGCTTTTTCAGAGTAATTTGCAACACATTTGCCTTTCAATGGACGTAACGTTTTAAATGAAATAGTAGATTAAATAATCCTGAGCCAGTCCCATTCTTCTATTTTGTGCCATGGCAGGAAAACTGGAGCAAAGCATAAGCAGTTCACCATGAACGATATATTTCATGGTCTGTGTTTCCAAATGAAAAGTAAAACAAATTTGCAAACTCCAATGGGGATTATATTCCTTACTTAACTATCATATTTAAGTCTTCAAGCCATCGAATCATAGGATGGCTTGGGTTGGAAGGGACCTTTAAAGGTCATCTACTCCACCAGTCACACCAGTGAAGCATATTTACCCTTACTAATGAAGCCCTGCAAAGACACGTACCATTTACAAGGCATAAAAATGACACAGAAATGCAAAATGTTTGTAGTCTTCTATCCTACGCAGATTTTAGGCAGTTCAATTCTTGTAAATATAATTCGCTCTGGCTTTGCCCAATAGTGCTTGCTGACATGGCACGGCCACGGCATGTTATGACTGGTCTCCACAGCTGTGCACTGCAACTGTACATCTACTTTAGAGTTTTGTTAAAACAGTCGAGCTGGCGGGGTGACAAGAAAGATGAGAAAAGGGAAGCAGTAGGTGTTGACTTCATGACACAGGAAGCTCAGTGCAGTGTTCCAAACAGCAGTCGCACAATGCTCTTTCACTTTTTTGCAGAAGGTTCAAAAATTAATTTCCAGCTGTAACTGTCCATAAAACATTGTAAACAAAAAGGAAATGCCAGCCTGAAAACAAACAGAACTAGCTTCTCATTAAGGTCAGATAAACATCGTGGTGGGAATACGCTCACACCTCAAACACCCCAATCACAGATACAACTGAGGAATGGCACATGGTGAGCTGGTTTGTGCGAGTGGCCGCAAGTCCATCACTGCACCTGCCGACTCAAACATGCCTGGGACATGTATTTAGGGACACAAAGACTGACCTGGCTATCACAAAAAGCAAATCTGAAAACAAAATTTAAAGCAAAAGAGAAAAGCTTGATATGACAAAACTTGAGCAATACCCTGCAGCAACTTTTCACACACCTGGCTGTGCACAACCACATTCAGTTAGCATCTCTATTACAACAGGTTTCCAGTGAATCTTGTGGAAAAGCTGCTGGGATACAGCTTAGGTCAAAATCATGCATGCTTATGCTTTAAAATGCCACCAATCACCCCTACAAAGAATGCAAAAAAGTCCCAGAAAGATTCTAGATGACAACTTCCTACTCAAAAATGCTGAAAACAATGTGGAAAAATTATTCTATGCTGTCGACTCCTTTGCTATAGTGAGAGCTCATTTTCCTTAGGGCATTTAAAAAAAAAAAAAAAAAAGAGAGAACGCATCTCATTTTTCTTAACCAGCATTATGACTAAAACATTGACCTATGCAATTTTTTTTTTCAGAATATACATGGAGATAATCTTACCCAAAGGTCTGACTTGCAGGCCTGCAGGTCAAATTATCCAGTGTAAACTATACAATGAAATCAGAAGTGAAATTCCAGCTACGTAGTCAGAATGGAAGCGGTGTCAGTGACTGTATGAGGCCCACGTGGGACTTCATTATTACTATTTTACCAGCAGGAAGCAGGACAGATGGAGAAAGGCATTGTTTTGGTGATTACTCTTAGTGAAAAATATCTAAGTAAAAAAGATATGCAGAAGTGTTAACTATCTCAGAAGCATTATTCCGTTGCTTCCAGGCAGTCAGCAAAAGCCTTGGGTATATGACTACAGAGCATGACAGCCTCTCAATCTCACTTTTGTGTCAACTCTTTTTTTTTTTTTTGGTAACCATCACAGCTAACATGCCACACTTACGCCAGGAGCTCCTGACACTGAGACATTCTCATTTTGATAAAAGATAACTGGAAATCCCAGTAAGTTACTCGTAAGATTTTAAAACATATTCCAATAATTGTGAGACTGTGAAACTGTGCTGCAGACTCCCAGAGGAAGCCACACCACACTGCAGAGCCAAACCTAGACTAAATAAAACAATACGAGTCATTATCAGGCAGTGTGACTTCACTAGCTGTGGGACTTGTGGAAGCTCGGGTGGTGGATGGAGAGGTATCTGAAGTAGAAAATTAGAGAAGAAAATAATTAAATCTGATTTCACCCCCTCCACTTATGTTTATTCATAAGCTTCACTTAACTTGATATCCTAGGATTTACATCATGAAATCATTCTGCAGCTGTATTTCTTATGCATCTTCCTCCAACTGTAACAAAGCTTTCTGGAAACTTATATATTTAATGAGAGTGCTGGGTATTCCCGTGTGCAGCTGCAAAGCCTGGTACTAGGGGTGGGAAAAGAAAAGCAGGAAAAAGATGCTGGCTCCTGAGACAATGCTTTCTGGAGGAGCTGGGGTCTCCCCAGCTCTCAAGCCAGCAGCTGCTGCCGACTGAACTCCCTTCCTTCCAGATCAGCAGGTTACAGATGGGCAAGTTACCAGTTTTGTCAAGGGTGATGCGAACTTCCAGCCTAAGAATAATCACTAAACAAGTCAACCTCGATTCATGCTGGCTCTCCTCGCTGGAAACTGTGGCCCTTTACCCTAACCCTTAGTACCCAGTACCCCAAATCTGCAACAGAATCAAAGGTGAGAGTGGGAGGATAATGTAGACACCTAACACAAACACTGGCTTCCCACACGGCATCCCCAGGAGAGGGCACAATCCTGACACTACAGAAGGTGCAGCAAAACTCTCAGCCATGTGGCTGCCAAAACAAGCTAACTGTAGCTTGGTCAGTGTCAAAAATGCCTTTTTGAAGGTGAAATCCAGTCAAATTGCAAGGGAGAATCTGAAAGTGCATCACATAAAGGCACTTCAGGAAGAAG